AAGGAGCATTTGCTTTTCAGATCGGTTATTCAATATATACAATAAATGTAGTATGAATGGCACACAAGCGGCATCTTGGCCTATATGTGCTGGGCAATTGGTTACACAAAGTGGGCTAGATTAGTGATATTCTTGTTGAATCTGTGTACAATCTTAAGTACCCTTCGAAGCGGACATGTCCTGGCTAGTGAATGTATACATATTTTCTACCGATGTTGAAGGCGAGGTTTACGATTAAGGGGCAGTCAGCTAATCAAGTTAGAGGTGGTCGGTGGTGCCGGGATGAAAAAAAAACATGAGAAATTGCCAAAAACCAAGAAATGGGACCCTTCCTTGCCGTTGATTTCCGCATTGATGCGACTCTCATCGGTGCTGCCCTCTTCAACATCTAACGCTCTCTCTGCTAAACGGCTAGCGCTGCGAGGAGAACCATGATAGGTCGTTGGGGGCATATTTTTCGCTGCGAATTGAGTGTTGGTTCGCACCCTTGTTGGATTTCCCTGCCTTCTCATTAGGTAACTTCTCCCTCCTGCAACCTTTTACCTTATCGTGGAATTCCCCTTGGAACACCACGCAGAACCGGCAAAACCTTGAAACCTGGTCACTATCGGTCGAAGCTTTGGTTTCAAAACAACTATAGATTATTGGTTGGGATGGTTTCAACGCTGTTTTGCTGAAAATAGGCTTAAAAGGAGCAGTTTCATCTTGTCAGAACAACTTCAGCTACTTACTCTGAACATAACAGGAATTTGTATACAAGCCCTCTGCTTACGTGACGATGATTGACCAGATGATCGGCTGCCGCAGTCGGCCTTGGAATCCGGAGCGGACACCTATTATTCCAAGACAGGTGCATGGTTTCTTACTCACTGATGCAGCGCTCCGATTCGATTTTCATGTTTCTAAAGAGCGCCATACATATGTTCTGGTAAATCTAAAGTTACAATGATTTAGACCCTTTCGTTACCTCCCATGAGCCGCGAAGAGTTAATTCTCTCACGAGCAATGGAAAACTGTGCTGTGAAATCAGTGATTGCTGGCGTACTCGGATTCGGAGTTGGTATGGATTACCTCTCACTTACAATTTATCCATTGTATTGGCTATATTGCGTGATGGTGAAGTCTGAACAAATTGCCTCCCTATTGTGAATTTTCATGAAGTCTAAATGCAGATCTGTTTGCATCTGCTAGTAAACCTCTTTCTTTAAATCATTACGAAATATTAGGTTGGAAAGAAAGTCCTGCAACCCTTTTTCACATTTTTGATTTTAATTTTATCTTTTTTAAATGTGTATAAAACAATGTGAGACTTCAAAATTTTATTGCAAAAGACTCAAAACTTTCTACAAAAGAAATTGCAAAATGTGTGTTTGCAAAAGTTTTGCAAAAGTTTAGGCCTTTTTGGCGAGCTTTCGGCGCTTAGCGCCTTTGTCGAGCCTGAAATGAAAATTAGAAGCTTTCTTAAAGTCTAGTAAGATAAAACTATTAAAACATATCTATTAACTGGACCCACCTTGTCTCTCCAAGTGTTACACTTTTGAAAGTGACAGCAGGTGGGTCAGTTAATATATTTTAATATATTAACAGACTTTAAGAAAGCTTATAATTTTCATTTCAGGCTCGACAAAGGCGCTAAGCGCCGAAAGCTCGCCAAAAAGGCCTAAACTTTTGCAAAACTTTTGCAAACACACAATTTTGCAATTTCTTTTGTAGAAAGTTTTGAGTCTTTTGCAATAAATTTTGAAGTCTCACATTGTTTTATACACATTAGATCGGGGGAATGAACTTCGGATAGAAACGATTTTAATTTTATCTTTTTTGTTACAACTCCTGACCGGTCATTATATCTACCATGAGTGTCCACCACTTGTCTTCAACGCTCAGAAAATTTCTTGATGCTCCTTTGCCAAAACCCAGCGGAGTGCGGGTCGAGAAAGGAGGCGACCTCACTTTCGAGTTGGAGTTGATCGTCTAATTATTTCGTCATCAAGATGATGATTTAAGGTCCAGGATAGGTGGCAGTCATTTACAGCTCGACCAGGGAATACGCTAAGAGAGGTAAGAAATCTTGCCGCAGCTCCAGAATTCTTACCGGGTTCATTTCGTGTGGTTGAGCTTCCGTGAGAGCCCTTCCTGTAATGGAGTGTGCATGACGCTGCTGGACTTCTTATAAAAATATCAAAGATCGAAAGCGCTGGTAAAGGTGAACACGCTGTAGCGGTGAACGACATGCCTATTGAAGCTATTGCAGATAGTGTCGGTCGTTGACACGAATCCATAGTTATGGAGACATTTGTACTAGACAGTGACTCGGAGTATGGATTTACTAGTGGTCGAGGTTTTTTGAATTTTCTTGGATAACTACTGACTGCAGCACTTATATCCACCTCGTGGATTGAAGCCTCGAGAATGCTCTACCATTTGTTAGTCATAAATGTTACCTATGAATTTTTCAGAAAAAAAATTTAGAAAAAGTGTTGCAGAACTTTCTTTCCAACCTAATATCATTTAGAGATGTAGAACGGTGAAATATTATGGCGTTCAGGAAATTCTATTGTTTTGATCCCTGTAGGTGCACCAATGTCGAATTAAAAACACTGCAGTTTTCACGTTCTTCTGAACAAAATTGAGTTTGATCAATTCAATTTCTCAAGGTGTTATAGTTGCGGGGCAACGAACTCAGAAGAAGGAACTCAGTAGGATGTGTTGAAGTGTGCCGCAAAGTTTTGTAGCTCTGCTCACTCTACATGTGCAGGGTCGGTTGTGTATAGTATGGCCAAGCCACTTTCTGGGCAGAAGTCGGCCTCCTGAGCAATATTGGGCAAGTGTCTGGAAGTGTGCATTACTTCAACATCTTTCGATTCAATCTTCAACATCTGCACTGACTTAGCTTTACAGGGAATACAGCCAACCATACGTCATCCACGACAACTTTCTACCTGGACACTATTTTGGGAAGATTTGTGGAGGTTTTGGTTAATCGTAAATGGTCCATTCAGTACAGCTTGGTTGTCAAAAAATACCCATTCTACATCACACGTTCCCCACTCGACAGAAAAAAAACAATACCTCTTCAGTGTGTAGAAAAATGGCAGCCGACAGCTCAAGGCAGCGTTATTTTTTTTTACAATACCCACTCATCGGCTCTTTTAAACTTTGTACCCACACGTTGATCATCCAGAATCATGCTCCTCACTTCACACATGAAGGGAAAACGACCTATTCAACGCAACGCTGATATTGCAAGCTGCTTCGATGGTGTTCTTTTCTAGTTAGAGTCTATGAAAGAAAATTCTGCTGTTTCACTGTTTGCGCATATTATACCAAAAGTTTTGGAAAAGTGGGAATATGTGTTTGGAAACATTACTTGTGTTTGGTGGAGCGATTGTTGCTAGCCAAAACATCAATAATTGTTGATATTTTTTCCACTCACACTTTGAATATGTTGTTTTAGGTGTGGCTTTCGGTTTATTCACTGCTTCCGTTGATCCATCTTTGAGTATGGTAGGAGGTGATCCAACAAAACAGGTGGGTTTCGTTAACTCTTGAAACTTCTCTGTTTTCTTCCTATCTTTGATAGGAAACTGCAGTGCGTGAAAATTTTCTAACTAAAAAACTTCTGTTCACGCCTTCACTCATGAGGAGGCTACGGCATGCGCCGCATTCCAAAAAGGGATTGGGCACTATAAATGGTATATTTTTTATGCTCACTTTCAAAAATTTGATCAAAACTTACTGTTTTTCGGGCCAATGTTACTGTTGAGTGACATGGGCCCTAGGCGGGCACCACGTGAGAATGCGCTTTGTCACCAAAGAATTAAAGAGCGAGCGTTACTTTGAAACACTGTTCAACTGGAAGTCTGAAAAGTCATCAAGTGAAGTATGGACCGCAATTCAAGAATAAACCTTCCTGACGCTGCTTGAGCTTACCCAAGTCTTTTGAAGCTTCAATTCTTGCCGCAGGCAGCCATGTCAAACTATCTGCAGCTCTTCCATCGTATTGAGAGTCGCATCATGTTCAAGGTCGAGTCGCGCTTTATGTGCCGTTACGTTGTCACCATATATGTTGCACATCCTGCGGTGATCAAAAGAAAAATCTTCTGGGCTGCGTTCCCATATCGTAGCGCAAAGTGTAGCCTTGTTTCAGCTCACTTTGAAAGAGACATGGAAAGAGATGAGCAGCAGAATGAAGTCGTACGGAAGGAATTTCGGATCTATTGGATTCATGTTTTCTGGTGCGGTTTCATTTCATTCTTACACATATAATTTGTAATTGATTGATGTAGCCCCTTCAAGGTACTGAATGTCTTTTGGAGAGTGTGCGAGCGAAAAGCGATTGGAGAAACGGAACTTATTCTGGAGGTACATTGTTTTGTTGTTTTGCCTAGTCGTGATAAGGGACTATGCTGGAACTGCATGGTGACAGTTATGGCATAACGGCACTCCAACCATGTCGAGGTCAAGCACGGTGACAAGTGATTTTCCCATAATGACAAGTAATTTTCTAGAAATGTTCTTTATGGCTCAGAAGACCCTTAAAGGGTGGGAGGGATTTGTACAAGTACAGTAGAAAACATTCCCTAGTGTCACAAAACCGTTCAAAAATCTTTTACACACAAATTCGCACTCTCCTTTTGAAAACAAGCCCTCAAGCACTGAACTGTCGGGTACGACTCCTCCTATTCCAATAGGGCAAGTTTCGTCCAGAGGATACTCAAAAGCGTGGAAAGTCCAAGATGCCCCACCTACCCCACCCCTCCCCCTTACTCCTCAACTTTGAGTCCATACAAGTCTTTTGTATTAACTTCTGAGACCAACTGTTCTGGAAGTGAAGTTGACTTCATCTTAAATTTTGCGCTGCCTAATCACGATACGATGAAAGAATCCCAAAAAAAAAGATAAAAAAAGTTCCTTCCCTCAGAGGTGCTGCATACTAACTTCCCGGAAATAGCGGTAAACATGTAGTGGGCGGTGGCGGGCCTGCCAACGTAGCTGCGTGTTGCCCGCTCATTACTAGTCGGTCATCTAATAGTTAGATGTGGCTCATATGGCCGCATGTCGGTATTGGGGAGGCTTTGACATCTGCTCTGAGGAGCTTTGTCGAGGCAAGTCTCTTCGCTAGGGAAGCGAGTGACCACCCATAGTTTGTCACTTTAGAGATTGCACAGTTGTCTGTCGACAACCATAATCCGTTTCACGCTTTAATGGCAGATTGTCCAGAACGGTCCAGAACGGTGTTTGCATGCCATTTGTTTTATGATTTAAAGCCAAAATTTTCTCAAACTTTCCGGACACAGTGGTATGGTGACTTGCCAGAGTTACCGAGACTTGGCACCCATAGTTTGTCACTTTAGAGATTGCACAGTTGTCTGTCGACAAGCATTAATCCGTTTCACGCTTAACACATTGCAGCCCGCGTGCATCGCCGGGTATGCACGCCAAAACTCCCACATCTGACATTTGTGCATCGCCGGGTATGCACATCTGTATTTTGCTCCCCCATGAACCTTTTCAGTACTTCTTTGACTAATTGACTTCTGTTGAGGGGGTTTCATTTCATGGGGGGGGGAATCCCCGTAGAACGTGTGGCATGTCGGACAACTTCAATTTCAACACAAACAATCAGATTCTAATACGCCTACCTACTGAACAACTTATCATCAATTACGAAAATTTCATGCAAATTGCGCTCCAAACTTCGAGTTCCTTTGGCAACCAAAAACAAACTGTTATCGAACAATTTGGCGTCTCATCCAGTAAGGGGGGCATCAAGTGGCTGCCCTCACCCCCACCCCCTAGACTGCCTACACTCCCCCTGGCGCACAGGTTTCTCGAAGTACGGGACCCCGTGAGCCAGGGGGAGTGAAGCCAGTTCAGGGGGGTGGGGGGTGAGGGCAGCTATTAGACGTTGCATCACAATGCCCCCCCCCTTACTGGATGAGACCAAATTTTCCGATCAACACGTCTACTAGCTCACAGAAATACGTACGAAACCAAGCTAAACACTTATTGGACCTATCAACCGTAGTGACAAGCACCGTAGTGACAAGCAAAACTTAAAAATTCATAATTGGTATGGGAACGAAAGCTCCCGCGCCCTTCCAACAAATCTGCTATGTGGGTCCCGTAATGGAAACGCACGAAATGTCCCACATATGAGATTAAAGCATCGCCGAGTATGCGCGCACGCAATACCGCCAATGCCACATGTGTGACAAGCGCCGAAATCGGCGCCGGCGTCAACGTTGTTTAATGCAGATTGCCAACGTAACATGAGACCGACGTCATAGTCGCGAGCGACAGCGCGATCGCGATCGCTCCATCGCTTGTCCGTCGCTTGCCAATCGCTCTTGGTCGAGCGATTGCGCAAATCGCTTGCAAAGTGCACGACGGGCAATGGCTCTGCTCGATCGATACCGCAGCCGACTGCATTGACTGGGGGCGGGGCCAATCGCCCGTCGCTTGTGCACATTGCGCAATCGCTTGCCAATCGCTCGACCGAGAGCGATTGGCAAGCGACGGACAAGCGATGGAGCGATCGCGATCGCTCCATTCGTCACTAGACGTCGGTATGAAGAGCATGTGGTTGCAGCTTGCCGTCGACTAGTTCAGCTAAAAGCTAATTTTCTGCAAATGACAAGGTGAAATACCGCTTGGCTATGAACGCGATCATTCAACAATGTTTTTTTTGCATGCCATTTGTTTTATGATTTAAAGCCAAAATTTTCTCAAACTTTCCGGACACAGTGGTATGGTGACTTGCCAGAGTTACCGAGACTTACTGATGAATTTTTACAGCTATTGTCGGCGGCATCTTGGGCCTTCGCGCTGGTATAAAGCCGGCTCTTTGGGGAGCGGCTGGCTTTGCAGCATTCTCGACGCTCATCGATCACTGGATGAGAGGATGAACGTCTTTTTGTTACTCGTTTTGTAGCTAGGATTTATTACATTAACATTTCCTTTATACAGTAGGTTTCAGGATTGAATCACGTTGGTTAATACGTCCTCTCTTGTTTTGTTGATTGATTATTGTATACGGGTAAATCGTGCAGAACTCAGTTCTTAATTATCTCAGGAGAAAAAAAAAACAGTACCCTCTTATGAGAAATGATTGAGAATCCTCTGAGAGTTATATGAAGAGCACGTGTATTACCCATGAGGAACTTGAATATGAAATGGCTAAATTAGAGCGACTTGTGACAGTGTGTACAACTACAGGTGAAAACGCATCGAAATCCTCGACCATAGCTCTCTACCATGTGAGAGTAGTGCCGAGAGTGAACATCCGCGCGGAGAGCACAGACGGCACGCGCATGGCGAGTGTGAATGTCCGCGCGAGAGATCGTGTCTGACCGGGCAGAGAATCCTCGACGTGCCGTTGAGGAATCCTCAAGCGATATTTCACCCTGCCACGTACCATCCCGTCTCTTACCTTTCATCTGCTGTTTCTGCTTGAAACTCGCGCGGTGTCCCTGAAGTCTTCAATACATGGCATTTAATTGAACCACGGTCTTTCATCTGCATTTGTGGCAAATACATTAGTGCCAGAGTCTGGCGAAGGACATATGTCAAGTCAGAAAGAACTGCCAAATCGAAGAGGTAGAAGCGGAGCCAGATGTTTTTCGCCTAGTTCCCTACTGCGTTACTGCCTCCTGCTCGGCTCTGGAGCTACATCAAAGGTGACGATTATAAGCGTTGATTTCCCAACCTAGGTACAGGTATCTTGAGCTCTCGGTGATGTTCATTTCTTTGAGCATTGGTGAAGTATTGAGATTCAAACCGTTTCTTTCGAGCGTTGCCTTGGCTCAGGCTCAGTGCAAACGTATATCGCACTGTCAAAATTAAGCAATATTTGTTCTAGCATGTTCGATTGATTCGGCCTAGAAGAACGTTGCCAACAAGGGAGATGTATAGTTCCCACCTTCGCCTTCACTCTATGCTTCTTCCAGCTGACGCATGTCCTTCTCGAACGCAACGCGCAAATGCTCGCCTGAGATGGTGCCGCCTTGTGGAATCCCTTTCCTTACGCTGATGACGTTGACGAGGATCCTTCTCGGATCCCCAAAATTCTCTTGCTCTCGCTTTCTTTCTACCTGGTGATACGCTGCAGACCTTTTTCTCCACCCGTCTCTGCACGTACTTCCGATAGGGGCCCACAGTGCTCTTGACTGCTCCATTGTCAAAGCGAGCTGTTTCACCGAATCGTACGCTTCTGACGGATCCACGCCATGCAACGTAGTTATACAGTTGGATATGCTCTGGCCAGTCCGCTAGATTGTCTAACAAAATCTGCGCGTATTCTAAAGATCTGTCTTTTATACTGCATGAGGGGTAGGCCTGCCTCCCTAAGTCTTCAAGAACACCACAGAAATCCGCAACGCTCTGACCTATCCTACGCTTTAGGCATCTTAGCTCGTAAGTGCCCTAAGCCGCCCTGCTGTTGAATCATTTGTCAACATCCTTCTCATTTCTTCCACCACTACTTCAAGACCCTGCTCTCTTACACTCATGGGCAGCGCCAACACTACACTTTTAGCCCTACCTTCCAGATGATCGTCAATCAAAATCTCTAACAATGTTTGATCATCAAATCCCACAACTCCGTACTTTCTTTTAAATCGCCGAATAAATTCGTCAAAGTTCTCGCTTTTATTCCCTCTGAACACACCTGGTCCTACACATGCGTTAGTCTGCACCCACGCCATAAAATTCAAAGCATCCTGACCTGCTGTGGTGTCCGGCCTTTCCAATCTCGCCGAAGGCTGCCTCGAGCGTGGTTCGCAGAGCGCTCCAGTCTGCTGTCGCGATGTCGACGCTTCCACCATCTGGATCTGAATACTTCCTCTATTCAGTGCATAGTCATCTCTACTTGATGTACCGCTCAACTGACCTGATATCTCTTCAACATCCATTTTTTCTTCGCTCTGTTTCCGTTCAGCTTGACGCGTCGTCCATGTGCGCGACGACTGCACCGCTTTCAGCACACCTCGTATGTGCTTCACGTCTGTCTGAAACATTTCGCATATCTCTGCGATGAGCTCTCCATCATGCTCTGTAGTATTCACATACTCTCTCCAATCTTGCGCACTTTCTATTCCCTTGTCATACAAAGTTTGAAAAATTTCATGCCCAAAAAGCTTATGCCCTGTCGCACTTGCTTTGAGCCGCTCCAGCCTCTCACTTGCCCGGTTAACTTGATCCTCCAAAACTTTCCTCATTTGATTCCTATACTTCCCCGCTATACGAGCCTCTGCTAACTCGCTCTCAACTTCACAAGGCAGCTGCCTAATCTCTCTTATCACACTATCCAATTCCTCGCTAACCTTCCTAACCGGAAATACATTTTGTTCTGAGCTCACCCGTGCTGCATTGTTCTCGTCCTGCTCCTTTTCGACGACCGGATTCTCCCTATTTTCTGCATTCGCAGCCATGACACCACTTTTACCAATATGTGGCTCAACCTGCAACATCTGTATCACTAAACTGCAAAAGTGTTCACTTCTAGCACACTTATCGACGATAAAAACCGATCCGACAACAAACGGCTACAAGCAATCGATACGAACGATGGCACTGCACCACGCAATCAATTTCACAACAACAGTCTCGTACCCAGCCCCTATATCGATACTACTGCCAACGGCAACGCCCTATCACGGCCAGTCCAATCAATCGATACCAGAAGGGGCACTATGCAGCACGGACCACAACACCCTGTTGCGTCCTCAATCAATCGATACACTTACACCACCGTAGCAAGCGATCGATACCCACGCTCTACACAAGCCACGGGAGCAATGGGTTATTTCCCCTCAACCTACTCTTTGACCACGGTCTTCCAACCTGTCGACCGTTTTGCCTGCAACACGCTACCTTGCCTTCTTAACTTAAGCAAGGTTATCCTCAACTAACGTCTACTCCACTGGTTCGGCCCCCATGTAGCACGAACCCCGGTTCTGTGAAATATGACCGTTCTTCAACGGAATCCACCGTAATCGTCACACGCGTGATCAATAACAATTTATGAAAATAACGCAACGACAAATAATACGACGAAACGATAATATTACAATGAAACTACGGAAAAGTATCACGAAATTGGATAGGGTCCTCGGTTGGGTCCTCGGGCCTCGGGTGCTGGATCGGTCGCTGAAGTCGGGCTGGGAGAGGCGCAGTTTGCTGCCCCGTCTGGGCTACCTATAGACAAGAAGACATCTGAACCGCTCCCCCCCCCCTTTTTATCCTAACCATTCCCGCCAAAACTACGCCTCTTGGGTGGTCGATCACACCCTGACCTATCTAAACGGGTTCGACCACCCTCATGCCACATCCTCGGCATGTATCGATGTCGGCGTTCTCGCTGAGAACTGTCGCCCAACAAAAGCCCGAGTATGGTATACTCCCAACCTTCGCTCACTCTCATGTGTTCCCGGCCAAATGAAACGAGGCATGCATTTCCTACACGCACTCGAGACGGTGAGCTGAAATCTGCTTTCATTATCGGCTGAACTGTTCTCTGAGAGAACTTGTAAGGATTTTCTTCGTCGCCCAATTTAGTGCCTTGCCTGCAATCACATGTAGGCACCCTCATGAATGACGCGACAAGCTTCCATAGGGTGCCAACGTACAGAAGTTGGTAGCGCTCTCGATCGTATAGCAAGAAGATAAGGCTTCGATTCGTTGGGGTGTTTTGCATTTTTCTTCAGCATAGCTATTAACCTTTTGATTGTTTAACTTCATCAACAGTTGTCTGTAGCCGCATCTAGGCAAAGTGCCATCAGCTCCTTTTAAAACAAGCAACTGGCCAATGACTTCTTGTGGTGCCCGTGGTGTCTCAGTTAAACGCGTGGTGCAAATGCCAAGCTTCTTTAGGATAGTTTGACCCCTGAACACGTGTTAAAGTAGGTCAAACTACCAATAATCAGTTGGCGACCATGCGATCTTTCGCGTGTCTGCCACGTGAGACCGCGCGCATTTTTCTTTGCGGCTCGACGTGGGACGCATTGTCCAAGGCGACAGTCTTTTTGACTAACATAACCTCAGGGTCGCAAAAATTCATCAGAGACGAAACTTCACCAAGGGGGAAATCGACGGTGCCAAACATAAATATGGCATCCATTTTGGTATATGACCAATTGGGCCAGAGCTTTTTTGCCACCAATTTCGCCATAAACTTGGGAGCAGGGGTAATCTACAGTGTTAAACATGGATGTGAAATATGTTGAAATGTGGCATACATTCTTGGCGCCAAAAAAAAACCGGACGCCATTTCCGTGCTTAGGACTGTCAGATACCCCTGTTTGTGAGCTTATAGCGATTGGTGACAAAAAAGGCGTGGCACCACCCTTGGCGTCGAATGGCGCGGCGCCAAATAACGGATGCGATTTCCGTGCTTCGGACCGTCGGTTAGGTATGTAAATTTATAGCGAATTTGATGCCAAAGAGACGCCACTCCCATGTGGCATCAACTTGGCGATACTGTGGATACTGCGGAACCTGCTGATCAAAATGTGATCACTAGAATGATGAAACTTGCGTTAAAGGAAGCGGTCACGCTGGCTTCCACGCTGGATTTGCTACCCTCGCGTTATCAATCGATAAGGTGTGAGGCAGTAATTGTTGGACGAGTGTAAGCCCATGGAAGATATGATACGATGAGATAAGAAGGTGCGGCTGCTTGATAAGAGGTGCACTCCAGAATGAAAACGGGACGATAACGATAACGGTATCATATCTAGCACGCTCTTATCGCACCCCTTTCCACATCGATAAGTCTTGGTTTTTGCTGAACGGAAGTGGATTTCGGCGCCTTATCACTCCGTTGATAAGGCGCCACTGCCACTGAAACTTCACGTGTTGTAACACTGGGCAGGACCTCTATCCACTCCAATACATAGCTTCCCTTATCGTTCCCTATGAAAATTATCGTGACCACTTCCTTTAAGGAGTTTTTGTGCTGCATCCCCACATCAAGTTGCGTCGTCCAACGGGGCAAAAGGTGC